GCTGAGCATGGTGTGGGCGACACCACACCAAGGGTTGCGATCCCCTTACCGGTCACAAAAAAGAAAAAAAAAAAAATCATATCTGGGGTTAAAAATGGTGAGGGTTGACTTTGGGACAGAGACCCTACAAAACTTCTTCCTGAGCAAGACAGGTACCTTTCACCTCCCAAAGCCTTGACGTTGACAGCAGAGCTGTGTTTGGTTCTGCTGGCCTTATACCCAATCCCTGCACTGACTCCTGGCCAGCTCAGGGGATGGAGAAGGCTGATAGAACTTAATCAGCGACTACCCCAATTGTAGACTATTTTAAATGAAGGATTCTTTAGACATTATAATGAAGTTGAAGACAACTCTTTGTCTTTAATAATGAATTTTCCCAAAATTGTTTTTAAAAGATGTTTAATCAATGCAGTTTTTCTTTGTACTTTCCTTTCCTTGTAGTATCCTGGATTTGGAAATTATTATTATTATTCTGTCTTCATGTTTGTTCCTAAGAAAAAAAGCTGTAACATTTTTTGTTTTTGTGTGGACATATTGTTTTGTAACATTTCGTTTTTACCTTGCTAAGGATATGTGTTTTAGGAGAAGTCTCATTTTATTTGGTTGGAGCACAAATTTTGTGCCAAAGTAAATATCTAGTATTTAATACTTGTATGCACTTTGTGTCCTTCCAGTCCATATGCCGTAGTTCTTTCAATATCTGGGAAGAATGCTGTGGTCGGAAGATGATTCTGTTACATGTTACTATGAATGCATTAGCCATTTTGTTGCATTATTTGTTTGCCTGTTTTTGGTCACTGAGCAGTCAGTGCAAAATGCTTTAACTGTTTTCACAAATGGCAGTGGCATGTTGTCACAGCATCAAAATTGTTGATAGTCTTTGGATTGCATTAAATGCAGCACATTTTAAAATGTCTGATCTTGTCAGTATGTTTCTTTTCTATTTTCTTGTTCACTGTTTTTCATTGTGAACTGATGTGTAGTCACCACACTCCTTTGTAATGTGAATTGCTCTTTCTGTTTGTCCTGATTTCAACGTAATGGATTCTGTCTGTAGCTAAAATGTTCTTTAATAAGGTTCTTATGCATGTGTAATTCACTACAAATGAATTATTACCTTTCATTAACACACATATATTCCCTTTCAACATTTCTCTGTTGTTCTCCTTTCTCTCATAGAATCATGCTTAATGTGCATAATGTGTCTTCAACACTGTAACAGGCTAAAATATTACAAGCTAAGAAAGCCCAGATATGATTATTTTTATCAAGAACCAAAGGTGTTGGTAATATTGTGTGATATTTCCCTCTTAATCAGGACTGAGCTTGTTTCTCACCTCAGAGGTAGAAAGCAAGATGGAGCAAAAATGATATCCAAGCAAGAAGGTGACCTTTGTTCCACCAATTAAATTTTATATATGTTCAGCTTTTATATGAACATTTATTAAAGAAAAAGCACGAGAAAAATTAAATTTTAATCTTCAGTATTAAGAGAAAATAATGGCATATCATCTTTATATTTGACTGTAGAAAGCTCTACATATTTTAATTTAGTAGGAATATCTGTAATTTAAAAATTCATTAAATAGTGAGGACACAAGTCCACCCTGCAAAGACTGACTCAAGAAGGCTGTTTGGCTTCAGCATCTTGCCATGGGGCCAGAGTCCTTTCCACCCCACTCACATGCTGGAGGTAAGCAGCAGGATCTTCCTGACTGAGCTATCTTCCTGTGGTTCTGTTTTACAACTCTTGGAATGGAGAAATGATTAAGTGCTTTGGTGTAAAGGGAAGGCTGGATGTAAAAATAGTGGAAAAGGAAAGTAAGGGAAAATTTTGATCAACAAAGCCCTTTTTACTTATTCTTTGTTAGTCACTGTTAAGAATCAGATCATGGATTATTGAGAATTGATTGTGTTCTAAGGTGCAGAAACTAGTCTAGGTACCCGACTTGGCCTTGGCAGCCACCAGAACTGTCTGCCTTCCGGAAGGAAGTCCATAGACCTTCACACCACCAGAAAGAAGCTGTCATAAGGCCATAAGTCTTACTCCTTAGTTCATTCTCCAGCATGCTGCCTAGGCTTGTTCTGGGAACATTCTTAGGTAACAGGAAGTGTCTTTCATACTTTACTTCGCTCTCTCCCCATATCTTTCTTCCCCCTTTCTAGTGACCTCTATGCTGAGCCTAACTCCCCCATCTTTTCTGTCTAATGTTTTTATACATTTGTATCTTTCTTAATATTTATCTTTGTTCAGCATAATGGTGAGCTTCTAATTAGTTATTCCAAGATATTTGCATTTTTTAGAAGCACCATTATAATGGTGTTCTTTATTGAGGAATTTCTAGGATATAAGTAGAGAGGAAATGGAAACTTTCCAGCCTCATAGGTTATATTTAGGGAAAAGAAAGAACCTTTCTGGTATACCACACCTGTGGTATATTTATTTTATATTCAATCCTTGTCTTTCTGTCTTCCTTCTAAAACCTTCAGAGATGGCAGAATGGGGTAATGAAGGCAGCGAGAAAGGCACAGCCAGTAGCAGAACAGTGTCTACTCTTTGACTGGAAGCCTAGCATGCTTGTAAGATACAATATCTAGAAATGGAACCAGTCTAGAATTCCAGGCTCCTGGGGTCATTTAAAGTAGGGACTCCGTTTTGCATTTGTCTCATCTGTGTTCAAGGGATAGATCATCTGTCTAAAAGGAAAATTATATACAATAAAATACTTTTCAGAGCAGAAATTATTTTTAATTGATACTTGTAAGTTTTAGGTGAAGAGAGAAAAATTTCTCAATCGTAGTGATGGATACTTCATTTCTTTGCTTTATTTGTCTAGAAAATTCACTTATCCGGAACACTTTAATACCCCATAACATTGAATAAAGGGAAACCTATTGGGAGTTAATAGCTTGGCTGACATAGCTTACCAGGATATACACTCAGGCTTCCTAACACTGCCATTTAATTAGGTATGTTATTTATTTTTCACCTGCTTTTTTTTTTTTTTTTTTTTTTTTTTTTCTCAACTTGAAACTTTCCTTTTCTTCTATAACTCACTTG